AAAGAAGGTGAATGGATAAAGTTGACCAGGTAAGAGGGAGAAGAGGTTACATGATATTAATATGGGGCCCATTTGACATGTGGCATGCCATTTCAACAATTCACAATCAAACTAATAGTCAACATTTTGATTTGTTAACAGATGGCGACATTATGCCTAAATAAAAAATGTTAGCATAAAATTACACTAAAAGATATTTTAGGACATAAGGTATGCCTGATTAGAAATATCAGTGGTAGTTTTGTATCTTAACCCTTGTGCCAAATAAAAAACAAGTTGGGGCAAAATTATACCAACAAAAAAATAGAGGTATGAGGTGCACAGCATCAAAATTTTGAGGGTAAATTTATACCCTAACCTTAAAATAAAAGAAGATATTTCTATCCCACAATTATAAGTCAATAATCATAAATTTGTACAAAATTGATCCTTACTCTATGATCATAAATGTGACGGCTTGGTCCTTACTCAATGACTATGTTTATCCATCATTATTTAAGAACATGCTTCGTTAGAAAGCTTCAACTAGAAAAAATCATGTGGAACAAAAAATTCAAAGAAAAAAAATAGTATGTTGTTTTCTAATACATTATTTTATACTAACTCAATGAAAATCTTACAAGAAAAACTCAATGAGACAAAATCTTAAAAAAGATTATCATGCATAGTGACTCACAGATATCACCCTTCAAATTATTGTATTTCAAGAGAATATACTAATTTCTCAAATGTAATATATCTTCTCAATTTACTTGCATAATGCACTATAAAAGTAAATAATAAAAGTTATTCTAAAGATTACTATCATATATATATTGCTTATACTCTATATAACACTTTCTTAGAATATCCCCTTCATGTTATCAAAAAAAAAATCCCTTTCAAAATCTATTTGTTTATTAAGAACTTAATCTTGCTTGTAAAATTATAACAAATACAATATATAAATATTTATTAGTTATTAATATATTGTATTGACCAATCAATTCAATATATTCTCGTAGACAAATAATTTACTTGTTTAAATATATCATTTGAAAATGATTTTGTATTCCTATACAAGTGCCAAATATTAAGGTTAGTTGTGATATAGATTAACAATTAGTTAAGATCCTTTTTTGATTATGTTAAAAATAATCTATAAAAAGAAAACTAGGGTTTTAGGTAGAGGTATCCATACATAAACCCCATAAGCCTCTAATGTGTTCTTTGTGGTATTTTGGGCACATGAAGAAGTCATTTGCTCAAATAAAATTTAAATAATATAAAGAAGATCAACATGGCCAATAATAAACATAAGTTAAGAATTAAGAAATTAGGTACCATGAAATTGTAAGTATGCAATGGCTCTACACGCACAATTCAAGAAATGGTCCAATTTTTTCAAAGGCAGGTGAAAATAGCAATTGTTTGTAAAAACAAATTGATGGAAAATTTGTGGTATCATCCTTATACTATTGGTGAAGTGATAAGTATCCATGAAGGTTTGTCCCTATAATGGAACTAAAATATAAGCAGATCATGGTGTTTTTTCAATTCTATAAAAGCTCTTTACACTATCTCACATTTACAAGACTTCACCATCACAAAAGATAAAAGAGGCTTGCTTATTTGAAATTGGAAAGTTATATATGAGCACACCTTTTTAGAAAAACAAATTCTTATAATGTTTGGCTATCTTATTATGCTAATGATATGGATTTTAATTCTCTTGTTATCTCATTAATCCAATTTAGTCCTTGTCAAAACTTTGGACCTATTCACATTAAGATGAAGTGAACTTAGTTTGTTTTTAATGTTAATTTCAATTGGTTTGAGTTTCTTTGCTAAGCTAAACTAAACTAATCAATTTTTTTTTATATAGCTATTTGATAAGGTCAGATTTATGTATTGTTAGGTCTAATAAGAGATAGTTTTTCAAAAGCATTTTCTACATTCACACATACTCAAACTTAGGATCCTATATTCAAGTGACTATAGCCTTTTCTACTAAGATCAATGCCTTCTTGGTCCAAACCAATCAATTTGGCAAAATCTATAACAAGGCCTTGTTCAAATAGAACCAAATTGACCTTAACCAATAAAAAGGACAAACAAACCAATATTGTTTACATTAGGTTTTGTTAAGTTTCTTTTAATGGTTTTATTTAGTTCAATTCTGCTAATTTCATTTGGTTTTAAATGTCCTTCACATATAGTAATAGAAATTGCTATTGTAAGTACAAGAGTCTAAATATCTATAAATAATTAAAGTTTAAGGTAAAAAAATACTCAAAAGCTTTTTCTTCAAAAGCTTCTGACATTCTCAAGTCAATAATAGTATATGATTATCCATTAACTTTATCAAAAAAAAAAGGTTGATCTTCATCAATCCGTTAAAATAGAACTTAACAAATTACACAACATTCCGAACTTGACAAGCAAATCCTCTCATCTCTCTTTTATGAGACATATAGTGCACATCTACCATTGCTTTTTGCAAGACTCTCTTAGCATCATTAAAGACTTTTTTGTTTCTTAAATTCCAAATTTTCCCACAAGTATATGAAAAATAGCACACTCCAGTGAATATTCCTTGTATGGCCTTTACCTAACTCTTTTTTAATGTTTCATTTTACCTAATTAGCTCCTGTTATACTCACAAAAGACTTCATTTTGCAAGTTAATTCCAAAAACTTCTAGCATTTTGACAATCTCAAACAACATGAATTAACAACATAGCTAAAATATTATAAACAGTTGTCATCCATACCTTACTTGCTTCACTCTTAGATCCATGGTATGCAACTTATCCTTAGTCACCATCCAAAGAAAGCTCTTCATTTTTCTAGGCATATTAAGCTTTCCAGATGAGCTTACACATGTTGTCACTATTTTCAATTGTACCTACAAAAACGTAGTGATAGGAAGATTTTACATAAAATGAGCCATTAGTGGATGGCTTCCAAACAAATTTATCCTCACCACTCATCTATCTAAAGCATCAACTAGTAATTTGGTCAACAATGTGAAGTTGGAGCCAATACAGCGAACAATTTTTATCATATTCCCATTTTCAAAGAAGTAGTCAACCATTGTTTTTGCATTAGCTAAATTAAGAAGTGGTATCTCAACATTAGACCATCTTTCTAACTAAAACTAGGTTTTACGGTCGATAATAAGATTCTTTTGCACAATCCACCAATAAATTTATCCCACATATTTATAATACTCCTCCAACAAGTTTACGCAACCTATCTATTTAGAAGGGAGTTAGTTCTTGAGTTGCATTTAGATTTTAGAATCTTTTCCAAAAGGTTTTAAGGGATGCAACAAGTTTCCAAGATAGTTTAAGGATAAAAGCCACATTTTGGCTTCTTAAATCCTTTATACCTAAACCACCTTTATCTCTGACATTTTACACCTCCTTCCAAGATACAAGATGGGCTTTCCTCATGTCATCACTATCCCCCTAAAAGAAAAGAGCGACAAGTTCTATCAATCTCCAATAAGATACTCTTTGATAGTAATGCTATTTACATGTGGTAGCTAGTGAGGGCTAAGATAATAGCTTTGATGAGAGTGATTTGCCTTACTAAATTTAAAAATTTTCCTTTCCAACTTACAAGTCTGTGCTTGACTCTATTAAGGATGGACTTTATAGTGATTGCTAGAAATTTTAGTAAGAAGAGACACACCCAAGTATTTGCCCATGTCCCTATGAGCTCAATTCCCATTTTTTACCTCAATTCTATAGCTATGGAGCAATGGATAGATCTAGAGATATGCATTGTTGTCTTCATTTTGTTGACTTTTTGTCCTAAGCATTGATAAAATCTTCCCAAACATTTATTCGTGATCTCAATTTGATCACAAGAGACTTCAATAAATAAGATTAACTCATCAATAAAGAATAAATAAGAAATAGGAGGGCCATACTTAGAAAGTTTCACTAGCTTCCAATTTCCATCTCTAACTTCATCTATAATCAAATGACTCATTGCCTTATTCCCCTTGATGGTCTAAATTCTAAACTCAACAATTGATTCCCCATTCCAAAGGACTCTCATAGAAGAGGTCTCCACACAAGCTCTTATGATGCTAGTAATCTTGGTCTCCAAACCAACTTCTACCAAGAATTTATGAATAAAGGACCAATCCAATCTATCGTATGCATTCTCCAAGTCAACTTTGATTGCCATAAAGCCCTTCTTTGATTTGGTTATTTGCATAGAGTAGATAACTTCTTAAGCAATGATCACACTATTACAACTTTGTCACCCAGCCATCAAAATGCTTTGGTTTTCTTCCACTATCTTTGACATTATCTTCTTAATTCTCATGGTGAGAATTTTATAAATAATCTTATAGTTGCATTGCACAAGGAGATCGATCGGAACTCTTTAATATGCTAGGGCTTGTCCACTTTAGGTATAAGGACAAGAAGTGTTTGATTTATATCTTTTAGATTCCTTGGGTTAGTAAAAATGTCCTGAACAAGCTTGTAGACTTCGTTCCCCAAAATGTACCAGTAATCTTGATATAAGAAGGCTTGAATATCATCTAGTCCAGGAGATTTCATAGCCCCTAGCTCATCTAAGTTTTTGACAATCAAGATATCTACTTTTCAAATGTGAAACATATTCCTAAAGTTGTACTCCTTGTGGTTATTGATATAAAGCAAAACATCTTTTAAAAAATTTGTATGATCTTTAATATGAGACACTCATAAAATTGAGTGAAACATTTATAAATTATTAAGACACTTGTATGTTTATTTGTCTATTAACATGTGATGTTTGACTTTAAAATTTAAAGATATAAGTTAATAATGTTAATTAAAAATGATTCGAGAATGTTATATTAAATTTTGAATAAATCAAGACTCAATTTTAAGAGCAATGAACTACCAGCTAGGATGGTGCTATACGTACATTGATTTGGCGCTTGCTATTACTATTTGGTATAAATAAGTGAAGTGTTCTACTTTATCAACCCCCACTATCTCTTATCATGAATACTTGTTTTCGAGGGAAAGAGTTAAATTTATTCATAATGATAATGTATTTGTTTCCTACAATATACATGGTGCTAAAAATGAAGGCTCGTTCCATTAAGGGAGCAATCAGTAATTGCACTCCAGGGTAACATTCCTACTGTACAAAATGTTATGGCACCAAAAAAAAAAGAAGAAAGAAGAAAGAAAAAGAAATCCAGCTCCAAGTAGTAGGAGCATGGATAAACAAAGGAATTTGGTAGCTACAGCATCCAAGCCAATCAAGAACGCTTGAGTAAGGATTCCAAATCTTTGAGAATTTGGTCAGCAGCATACACTATCATCTTCTTTATCTGTTCGATCAAAGAAAAACAAAGAAACATGAAATAAAAATTGGAAGCAAACATCACCTCCATTACATTTTTGTTTAGATAGATTTAGTCTTAATATTGTATCTAAGAATTCTTGGCATATTTCATAAAGAGAGAGGCAGCAAGGAAACATGAAATAAAAATTGGAAGCACACATCACCTCAAGTTTATCTTCTCTGGCCCTGTGGTTCTTGGGAAGCAGCCGGAACTGATTAGTTAAAGCCAGACACTCACGGAGGTTTTCTGGGGACACAAAGTCCACAGCAACTTTGGTGCATGACTGCAAAAAAGCAAAAATTTAGAACATTTTCAGATGAGCTACAATCCAACGAGTTGAAAAATAGGAAATATGGAAACTAATAAGCGTAGTAATTAAGGTTTTTATTGAGATAATACAATTGAATAGAATACATACACATAGAGAAAGGAATCTGCTGCCTGATTAGTTACAAAATATTCTCTCCTCTAATATTCTCATAAAACATAATGGTAATATTCCAATAAAACAAGAAGACTGTAGAATACCCAAGAGCAAGGGGATCTCGACAGTCCTCTTAAAGTTGGATTACATATCGATCGTATCCAATTATTAAAAAAATCATTCAACTGATTGGCGCAGCAAACCCTTTGAAAGGACATCTCCAATTTGCGCTATGATTCTTGGCTGGCAATATACGTTATATGAATAACTCCCATTCTTTCTTTAATCCAATGCCTATCAACCTCCATGTGCCTAGTCCTATTACTATTACAATAAGTCCTGATAAGTAAAGTCACATTGATTCATGTACGCTTTGTTTTTTTATTATAAAAGAAACTGTCATCTGCCTCCTTGTTTTTTCATAAGCCAAATTGAAAATATCAAGAAGCATTTATCACATTTTTGTCAAATCACTCTTCAAACAATCAATGTCTATTTTTATGAGACAGATTTGCTTCACTAATTACAAGGATAATTTAGTCTAATTTTTTTATTTCAGATATAATTATTATACTTAACCAACTTTCTTAAAGTATGTGAATCCATTTTTTTTTCCTCTTATATTTGAATACAGAATAATAGTTCTTTTAACAGCCTCTGTAGCCAAAGTCCTCGCATATTTCTTGAGCAACAATTCTAAACTCTTGCTTCTGCACTACTTCTAGTCACATTTTGTTTCGTGCTTCTCCATCAGCAATATATAGTTGTAGATCAGTTGTCATTTGATGAACCTGCCAAACTCAAGCTTGATTACCTTCCTTTTTTATTTCTTAATATAAGTCATATTCCAAGGGAGCCTTCTAACTTCTAAGCATCTCAAGATCTTGTTTGCATATCCAATAAGAATTGTTTTCTTCCCTCCTCCTCCTCTTTTTTTTTTTTGGATAAGTTTTTCTTCTTCCCTTCTTTACCATTTGAGTGACCCCAGTGGTACCCTTCACATTTTAGGGCTCTTGCAAATTGAACGAACCATGCTTTCAAAGATTGCTTTCAACCACATAAAGATTTTAACCTATGAACTTTATTCTTCTTCCCTTCTTCAAATCCAAGAGGAAATGTCATATATTTCTTCTATTAAATTCCTGTAAAGGAATGCATTCTTGATATAAGGCAGTAGAGGCCAATCTAGGTTGGTGGACAAACATCATGGCTCTCATAGCTTCTTAAATGTTTGTTTTTCATTCAACAATACCATTTTGTTGGGGTGTATGACCATAGAAGCTTTAATGAGCTATAGCACATGTTCTAAGGACGATATCCTGTGCTTGATTGAAACATATAGTACCATTATTTGCATACAAGATTTGGATATTAGTATTGAATTGATTTGAGTTTTAATCGTTGTATGGAAATTGTGAACTCATGAGGAACCTCATTTATTAATAAATACACCTAACTAAGACGTGTGTGATCATCAATAAATTAGACAAACCATTTACCGTTACATGACAGTTCTATGGGTTATTCATAAGGGACCCCACACATTACTATGAATAATGGCAAAAGGTTTTGTGCCTCATATGTGGACTTTGGATAAGTATTTTTGTGATGCTTGGCCAACTCACAACTTTCACATTGAAAGTTGATCGAATTTTTATAGGAGCAACTCAGTAATTTAAAACTAAGATGACCTATACATCGATGCCATAACATTAAGTTGTTATTTATGGAGAATAAAGCATAATTATAAATAACATTGGTCCTTAAGCCATAAACTTCATAAATTTGAAAATAAGAAAATCCTTCACATTCCTTAGCATTGGCAATTGTCATCCCTAATGACAAGTCCTAAAATACACAATGAGTAGGAGCAAAATTAGCAGAGCATTTGGAATCTTCAATTTATCGACTGATAGCGAGGTTTGGAAGATAAAGAATAGATTTTATTACTATTAGAAGCAAAAGCTCTAAGATTTCCTTTACCAACACCCAAGCTAAGATTCCATAAGCAATTTTAACTTTCTAGCACCAACAAAAGGAGCAAAAGTAGTAAATAATTGATAACAATCAATCATGTGATTAGAAGCACTTGTATCAACAAACTAGAATCAACAATTCATGAGTTGTGCAAGCAAATTTTAAGAGCATAAGAATATACTCAGTGATCCAAAGATGCAATAGTATTTTTTTTCCAATAACTAACCAATTGTTTATAGCACATACATCTCTAAAATTTTCCCTAACTAATCATTACTAGTGGTAGAGATTTGGTTGCTGATAAAACATAATAACAACGTGCAATCCATATAGCCAACCCTATCTAGTGGAATAAGACTTCTTGTTGATCATTACTAGTAGTCTTCTTCTTGAGATTTTTTGTTCTCAAAATTGATTCAATAACCTCAACTTTTTTCTCAACCTTCCAACTTTCCATGAATTTCACGGCAAATGTCTTTTGCGTGGCCTATTTTTTCAATGTTTACAAAATATTAAGGCCCTTTCGTTGCTTATTCTAATTCAATTCAAGCCCAATACTTCAAGTCAATAAACTTGACACATCTTGAGCATTCTTCTCCTCTTTTAGCATCCCCTTAAGTCGAGCCTCCTCCCTTGTTACTTCTACAAATGCTTTGCAAATCATAAGGAGATGATTTTGAGCCACTAGCTTCCTCTCGAGCCACTAGCTTTGTCGAGGTCTTATTTAAGCTAGCAACAAATTCAACTAACCTATCCTTCTCGATTTAGCACATGAAACATGATAACATCCTCAATGCATGGCCATTCATCTTTTAAGTTGGTGTCAAACTCTTGCCAAAGTCACCATTTCAAGGTAATACTCATTAACCTTTTATCAACCTGGTTGGTCTACTATAACTGAGTCTTGATTTCAAAGATCTAGGCAAAGTTTCCACCATCAAATATGCCTCTTTCGTCACATCCCAATTTCTTTCTTAGTACTAATAAACGTGAGCATTTTGTCAATGGAATCATCGAACTCATTAACCAAGACATCACAAGGGATTTCTTTGATTGCCATCATATAGCATCTGACATGTCATCTAAGGTGGTTGTTCAAGCTTCTACAGTGAGATGCCCAATCTTTTCTCAACCTCTGATGGCCAATCAAATTGCTCTAACATAACTTTTTCCCATCAAGTTTTCCCAAGGTGAGCAAGAGGATCCATCCGAACTTGAGCCCATTGTTGGCAAAGCCTCAATTAAGTTCAGTTTGAATCCTTGGTATTTATTAAGCCTTTGGATTAGTTGCCCGTGAGAAGTATGAAAACTAGCTTACCATGGAGTACTCCAGGTATGTGTTATTTGAATTGTTATGTATTGAGATGATACAACTAAATATAATATGTCCATAGATGGAACAAAAGGAAATTTTGCCTAATTACAACAAGGCTTACCCCACTAGGTAGGGTTAGCTACATGGATCACATTACATTATTGTGCCTAATTAATTACAAAATATTCTCTCCTCTTAAATTCTCATAAGACATTATAGTAATATTCATATTAAGTCATGAGCATTTAATCCCTAAAAGTCAGGAATCTCAACAATAAGACTTGGTTTGGATGGAGGGAAAAGTGGGAAAGGGATAGAGAGAAGAGGAAACGAGGAGAAATTTCTAAAAATAGTAATTTTTTCACTATTTTTAGGAATTTTCCCTCCTCCCTCTTTTTCTGCCCTTCCAAACAAAAGGTAAGAGACGCACTAACATGAGTATGGCAAAAAAGAAGAAGAAGAAGAAGAAGCAAACTTCAAAGTTCCCAATATAAAATGTAAGGAGTTTATTGTTACCATGAGATTTCTAACTTGGTGAGGGCATCCAGCAGGAATAAACACAGCCTCCCCTAGTTTCTGCTCAAACGTCCAAGGTTCAACACCTTAAAGTTTTAAGGGTTTGTTTCAGTAACAAGTAACAAGTAATAGCAACAAAGATATACATTAGTTTTTGGTGCTAACCGAACTCCTCCTTCAGCTTCTTCTTGTGCTCCATTGTTAAATAAAAACATTGGTCATGAATGGGATGGAAAACCTATAAAATACATTAGAGCCTCAAGTAGCATAAAAGTTAAGGATAATCAGAAACATGGATCAAGTGGTAGGTATTGTACCTGTTTAACTGGAGAACAATAAGTATGTCTGAACTCTCTTGAGTGTTTTCTCAAATATGTTTCTAACTTCTTAGTATCTTCTCTTCTGAAAATGTCCCAAAGAGCAGCACCTGGTTCTCTTGTCTCATTTTCTGTAGTGACAAATGCGACCCCTTCAGCCACATCATTTGGAGAGATATTTCCATTGATTTCACCACAGCACTTCTCTTTCTCATCTTGGACCTTGTGTGCCTTCTTCAACTTCAAAATAGACAAGCATTGCTCATCGTTTAACTTTACTTCTGCTGTATGGGTCAAAATATTCACCTGTGAACACTAGAAAGTTAATTTATTTAAGAACAAGAATCATAGTACTTGCGTGATAAACAACCTTGAAGAAGCATACCGCATCTGACATGTCACAATGAAGCTTTGTTACAGAATCTCCTCTGCCAAGCTCTTCTTTTATTCCATAAGCAATATATGTTTTTGGACCCATGTCAGGTTTCAGGACATGCATTGGCAACTTGACAGCAAGATTGAGCATTCCGACCCGAGGATCAGTGTACTCTTGGAATGGCAAGGAACGGATAAATTCATCACAGTGGCGAGGCAAAAGATCTTCAAACTTATCAGAGGGAGGCCAGTCTTTTAGCTTAAGCATCTCTGGCCAGAGGTTTCTATATGTTCTTCCTTCCATATAACCTTTAAAGAACTTATGAGTGCTGATTTCTACCTGCAAATATTTGGAAGAATGAACACAGGTCAATCGTGTAGAAAACTAGTATACTATACTATACTTCAGAAGATAGAAAGCTCCAAGGCACGCGGGAATCTCAAGTGCAAGGAAAATACATGGCAGTATGAATTTATACAAATGTCGCCTAAACATTATCTTTGACCAAGTTTTCACAAAGCACAAAAAGAGAAGATACCAGAAATGTACCTCACAGCCAGCAAGACAATCAATCGTCTTAACTTCTGACACTTTTGGGTTGATTTTTGAACCTGAAGCTGCACATACTGCCCTCCAAATAACCATGGGCTCCCAGCTCAAACCTGTTGCTTGTTGAAGAACATCACGAACGATAACAGGTTCACCATTAATCCAATGCTTTTGGAAGATTGATAACCCATCGTTTATAATCTCCATTGAAGAAGGGCAGTATATGTCATTGTCATCACTGCCTTCTCTAGAAGCAGCTCTTCTCACAGAGCGGTTGTAGCATGATACTGCTACTCCTATGTGCTTCAGAGGAGTTTGTTCAGTAACGTAGTTTCTTAACAAATCACCAGCTTTAGCTTCCAGGTCATATATCCAACCCCTGGGAAGAATATGCTTGAGCTCCAACTTGCCGTTTCCACATCCCCCAAACTCCTTTGGGGCACAAAAAACACTTCCATTGCTTTCTGCAGTCCACTCAATAGATAGCTCAACACAAGGATCATCTGAAGTCTTGGAATCACAAGACTCTGGCGAAGGATCACCACCATGCATATAATCATAGCCCTTATTCACATACTGAAACCTCATTTCAGCTCGGTGCGAAATAGTCCCATTACGAACTTCTCGGCAACACTGGAGGCAGAGTTCATAGGAACACACAGGGCAGCTTCGATGAAGATCAACAATTGAAGTAGCACAATGGTTGCTGCTCCAAGACCAAAAGGATAAATTAAACAAACTTGACGAAAATGAAAAAAAACTTGTGTGAAATGATTTGGATTTAAGAGTAAACTTACCAATAGACACGTTCATCATCACTGCATAGAGTTTGCAGTATCCTAATCTCAGAACGTGATGTTCCTGACAAAAAATTTATTGTTACTAATGTCTTGAAAGTTAAAAAGCTTTTTTTTTTTAAGAAATATAGTTTATTGTTAATGATGTTTCGAAGAAAATATTACAGCCTCAAGTACCTTGTATTCTAGCTTCAATCTCTTCCTCTAGAGCTTGTTCTTCACACATTTGTTTCAGAAATGGACGAACCAAGTTGATACAATATTGCAGATATTGAAACTTCTCATTATCAGAGATATCCCTGATAGATGTCTGGCAGGTAGATAAGAAATTAATTATGAGAAAATTGAAAGGGTAAACTTCTAATCTTCATTAAACAAAGTGGCAAGGGTTTGGATAACACAGTAAATCAAACCTTGATCATCCCACTTGAGCGCAAGCAGACATTGCAATTGCAATTTTTACGGCAAAATGGGCAACGCTCTGCAATTTCTGCTACCGTCATATCAGGATACCTAGGCGGATAAATGGCAAACATAGTTAAATCTTGTAAGGATGCCTTATAAACTACAAGAACAAATAAATAGAACCTTTTAACAGGTAAAATTGTGTAGACGTAATATTACTCACCATTGCTTGATGCACTTGTCACAGTATAATTTTTGTTCGCATTTGGTGCAAGGGACATAGCTTAATCTATCCCTTCTCATGCACTGATGACATATCCAGCAATTTCGTTTAGTATCCTGTTTAACATAATAAGTTAGGCATTAGTCAGTTATAGAGTCAGGTAATGGACAGTACAAAGTAAAGTCCCTCTAATAAAAATATAAGCAAACGTTGTAACACATTATTGACTCCTTAGCAGTTAAAAAACTTAAAAACTGCAACTTAAGATTTTTTCCTGAAGTAATATGAATTGAGAAAGGTGATTACCCTCCTACTTGTTGCAATGTGATTGTCCTCAGTATGGTTACCTAAATCCGAAGGAGGCAATGTGGATGCTGGTGGAGAATGCAATGTGGTAATGCTTGAAGATGGACTCTCTCCACTTGATTCTGAGCCTATTGTATCCATCATAGTCACAGAGTCCATTTTATGAGCTCTTCCCCTGGACCGTATCTTGGCAACCACGGTTTCCTTGTCATCTTCCAAATCATCAATCAAAAAATCATTTTGCAAATTTCTTTTCCTTTTTGAGGCAGCTATAGATTTCTTTGGTTGATCACCTCTCTTGCATTGAATATTAAACCTCCTCTTTGAACAACATAGAATGTCTCCTTCCTCTTCCGATATCGGAGGATACTTATGACTCTCTTGAACCTTTCTCCTCCTTGAAACTTCAAATGCGTTAGAGCAAAACACCTCCATCCTCACCGCCTTCTAGTATAGCTTAAACCTAACCAATAATCACTGTCAGTGACACATCAATCAAGAAAACTTCTTTTCCTGAAAAACTGCTATACAGCGTGAAAAGATTAAACCCAGTGCATATAAGATTATATCAAATGTTCTTTCGAATGTCTAAGGCGCTTCAGGTCAATCCAAAACAGAGAACCAGCTAGGCAAGTCAACCTAACAACATTGGTTTATACGAAAAATAGCCCCTCACGGAGACAAAGGTAAGAAGCAGGAATTGCAATTGCATTTAATCATAGGCACGATACCATGAACACATTCGAGATCAAGGACAAGATTCAGACCATAAACCGCGCAAGTCAATGGTCAATAAACCCGCCCGGCAATTCAACACGGATATACAATAATTCCCAAAGAAAATTGCCCGCAACCGAAAGACCAATAACAAAGAGGAATAGCATTTTGCATTCAACAAATAAGAAGAACAAGAACATTCGAAATTAACGTCGTTCAAGATTTAGGCATCAACCTGTTATTGAACGGCGAAACAGAAACAGAGAGGAAGTAGAGAACCCAGATAAAGACCACGCAAAATCCGGGGAATTAAAATTTTAAAAGTAAAAAGTAAAAAATAAAAACTTACCGAAAAGTGAAATTGGACGCAACCTTGTGGGCGGCTTTAGATCTGTGGGTGAGACTAGAGGCCAGGAAACGGGTAATTCCGCAGGAGTTACTTTCTCAGAGTTCGTGAAACAGGCGTAAATTACGAAGTTTTTCCCCACTTCGTTTTTTGTAGCGCGGTATATAATTTGTACCAAATTAGAATAAAATTGATAATAATTTTTTTTATTTTTGACGATAATAGAGGCACAAAACTAATATAAAAACGATCCTTTAATTATCGTCTTTTAATAAAAATAAAAAATCACTCAAAAAAAAATAATAAAGTATTTCGAATATAAACGGAATTTGGATTATCCCACCCTCAAACAGATTCGTATATTTGTCCAAAAAACAAAACAAAACAGATTCGTATACGCATGATTAGCTCTATGATGCTAATCTTCACACAGTCCAAGATCACAAACTTTTGTTTTCCCCTCTGAAATCAAAACAATGGATACGGCTTCTGGTAGTCTTAGGGGAAAGGAAAGAGGAAAGCTGAACTACTAAGAAAAATAGTGCCACGCGCTGTTTGGTGAATAGTAGGATCGCGTCCCAATTCCCCGCATCCTCGTGCTTCTCGTTTGTTTTGGGTTTTTAAGATTTTAAAATTTCTTTGGGATATTGGTTTGAGGGAAAAAATATATATGGTCAGATATTAATTTGAAATTATTATAATATTTTGATGCGGATCTTCCCTCCATAAAATCTTAATTTGAATTGAATGCATGGTATCTTTGATATTCTAGACGATATAGCATAAATTACTACTTTTTACTTTTTTTTTATTTTTTAAAATACAGATTGGGGTAATTATTAAATGGTTTGCCAAGGGGATAAAAGTGTTAAAGAATTCGTTGGTTGGGGTTGAAGATAGAACAGAACGCACTACATGGGTCCCAGTAATTTATTTTTCTTCCTTTTATTATTATTTTTTAATTTTTAATGAAACCATTTTGTCACTCTATAAATTTGGAAGATTATCGATTTGGTTTCAAAAACTTTTATCACCTCTTGTTCTCTTCAAAGGTCGCAAAATGTAAACATTACGTGACCCAAAAAAAATGTTAATATTACCTAAATCAATCAAATTTTTTTAAAAAAAAAACCATGTATAGTGCAAGCTTTGAAGTCCAATATATCTCTCCAATACTCGAGAAAAACTGTCATATATATATATATATATATATTATTTACTATGTAAACAAAACTATAAAATCAAAGAATATTTATCATATTTTTTCAATTTATTTCTCATAAATTTAATATTTATTTTTATTAAATAAATTTATTTAATTAATTACAGGAATAATATAATCTAAATTTTTAATTTCAGACATGATTATTATATTGAACAAACATTTTTTTATACAAGTTTGAAAACACTTAACCAGCTTTTTTAAATTCTATAAATTAGTTATTTTCTCTCAGCCTTAAAAATAAAGTATATGACTTTTAAAATATTGAAGTGCATTTGATTTTCTCTCATTTAACATTTGGAATGGATTTTTAAACTTTTGAAATATTAAAAATTATTTGGGTAATTTTTTAAAAAGCAAAATTACTTTTAAAAAGTGGATTGAAATAGGCTTGAGATGTGAATTTTGAAACTCTACTTTTTGATGAATTTCAAAGGTGGGTTTAAAATATATATGTTATCTTACTCTCTTATTCTGTTATTTAAAAAATAATTATTTCATTAAAAATATAATTATTATTTAAATAATAATAATTAGATATCAATTTCTTAACATTGTAAATTGAATAACTAATCATGTTAATTTTTAACACTTATTTATAATAAAAATTATAAATTTTTATCACATTTTTTAAAATTATAAATTAAAAAAGTATAAATAATTAGATATCACATCTTTAGCATTGTAAATTAAATTTTATGTTATTTAAAATATTTATTATATTTTTTAAATATTTTAAATATATTATATTTCTATAATAAAAATTATAGATTATCATAAATCAATATTTTTTTAATAATTGTACATTTAAAATTATATTTTATTATCATAATTCAAGTAATTTTTAATTTACTAAACTGATTTTTAAAAAATATATTCAAATATAAATTTTATTATAATAATTAATTTTTATTAAATTAACTTATGTTAAATAAATTTTTGATGAATTGAAAATCAAACATATATTAAATATGTGTGTAATGTAAAAATTGTTTTTCGTTAATATAATATAAAAATTCTATGAACACAGTACTGTCATTTGAAGTTTTGAACATGCGACTATGCCAATCCCATCCCAACACGGGCAGGAAGGAATGTGAAGGACAGGATGGAGGGTTAGAGATTGCTGGGGAGATTCTGACGTATGATTTCAGAAAGAAATATAATAAAATTTTATTTAAAAATAAATAATTTTTTAATTAAAAAAATTATGTTATCATTACTATTTTAAACTAGAATGAGATCATTTCTTTCTTTCTTTTTGTTACATATATCTGTAATTAAAAATAATCAAACACAAAAGGAAATCTTTTTTTTTTTCAACCTCAATTCATAGGGTGGGATTATTTCTTCCAATGCAAGTCGCATAAATATCTCAATCATGTATTTGATATTTTGTTTAATGTAACTGCGTATCTTAACAAAATAAAGTGATGTGATTCTCTAACCAATCGAACAAATTGATTGTAAAATATTTTTAACTACTTCACAAAATTGAAAAAAAAAAAAGACTTTTATAGCGTACTATAATTGACTTCCCCCTTGATAGTTGGTATCATACAATTTGAATTAATAATAGCACTTTTTTTTACATAAATCAAATTCATACACTCACACCGATCACATTTATCCTAACTTTTTCTCATGAGAAAAAGTGGCCCACGCATAACCCCCCACTTGGAGGTGTAGAGGTTTGATCTCGCTGAACTATAAGACAAAATGCAAATTTACCGCTTTATTTAAAAATCATAGGGTATTTTTTAAAAATTAAATGTTAAAAAATAAAAGGTTTTTTAAAATTTTAATGTATAATTAATGAATTTTTCTTAAAAATATTATTAATGAATTACTCAACCATTCACCTTCGATTGAAATATTTCATTAAATAAAATATATAAAAAAAATAATGATAATTTAAAAATAAATAATCAACTCGTTAGAATATACTCCCTGGGGTCCCTATTACAAGGGATCTTCTAAAAAGATCTGTTAGTTTTTAATATACAGCACGTGATGAAATATTAATTATGTTTTTCAGTATTATCCAATTTAAAATTATCAATTATGAGAGATAGTATAATGTAAATTCAAAATTTTTTCATCTAAATAGGAATCAAACTAAAAAATTATTATATTTTTTAATATACTTAATAATTTAATTAGTTCCCTTTAATTCTCATGAAATACTTAGAAGTTTTTTGTAATAAAAATCAAATAGAATATATTCAATTAAAAATAATATACAAAGAGAATTTCAGGATCATGAAAAATGCTTAATTATTGATGGGTCCCAATAAATTATGAAATTTCAATTCAGTTTATGGGAGAAAAGTTAAAAAAAATAATTATGAAAAGATCAAAACACCCTTAACTTATCATGCAAAATCATTATTCGTTAACTTTCTTACATTAATTGTAATTTACTAATATGAATTGCAAATTATATAAGTTAATTTGTCAATGATTATATAAGATTTGGCATCAATTGTTCAATCATAAACAGCAGCATCAATGATTAAGTTGCTAACTTTATTTATTAATTTATTAACATCATTGTAAATTACTAACTAGTATTATAATTTACTAACATAAGTTATGTGAAATAAAAAATTAATAACTAGTGATTTTGTATTATTAAAATTAAAGTTTCAAATTTTTTAAAACCTACTAATAATTAAACCTCATCACTCTCCCTTAACTAAAATTGTTCCTAATACTCTCTTCGTATAAAAATGTGAGGCATTTTTAATATAATTTTACCTTCTAATAAAATAGTTACCTATTTTTTTATATTTATTTATATTAAACACTCTAAATGAATATAAAATTATTATTAATAAAAAATTTAAAAAATAATTATTATATTTAAAAAAATTAAAAATATTTTATATTTTTAAATATTTAATTTTTTAAAAAATACTTTACGTTTTTTTAAATGGAGTGGGTATATATTTTTGAATGGGGAATAGGAGAAGGCAAATTCTAAACGGGTGTAAAGGGAAAGGAATCAGTGACGCGACACGACGTGCGCGGAAGTTACAGCAGATTACATAATAAGCAGAGAGAAACTAGCCCCGGAGGTCGGCCCAGGTCAATGTCTAACAGTAACACTCCTCAAGTCTTGTCATCTGCTTTCACATCAACCCAATCCAATCAATCCATCACCATTCATATTATTATTCTATTTTTTGACTCATACATATATCACCCATCCCTTCCCCACGTTTCGTCCTTTTGTCTTCGGCTTGAAGTTTGAAGATTACTCGCCCTTGTTCATAACGTACTTTGTTTTTTGGCCGTTGATAACAGACTCACCTAAAGTATTTTAAACAGAACCTTGGCTCTCATAAAATAATTATTTATCCTTTAATTAATGTCATTTTTTATATTTTTATTTTTATTTAATTAAATATTTTATTTTAAAATAAATATAAAGTAATTTATTTATTATAAATATTTTTAAAAAATACATCAATTACATTTTGAAACATTAAAACTACCTGTATTGTTTAATATTTACTCCTTCCGTTTAAAAATATAAGGTATTTTTTGAGAAGTTGGATATTAAAAAATGTAAGGCATTTTTAGTGTTTTAAAGTGTAATCATTATTTTTTCAAAAGTGCCCCTATTAATAATAACTTTATATTTATTATA